TGTTTGTAACTCTGTATTGTCTGTATTGTGCTTGTGATATGTTGTAAAATGTTGTATGTCTGTTAATGTTTCCCTCCTTTTATCCTTAAAATAAAAAAAATAAATAAAAAAAAAGAAGCAAAAGAATACTCAACATTTTAAAAATGTTCACTGCTGTGAATTAGGTGTCTCTTCCTAAAAGGTATGGCTTTGGAAATGCATATAATTTTCCTTTTGCTATTTGGAGTGTTGCTTATATTGACAAGGCAAATAAAATTTGTTTACTAACTTTGTGGTCCTCCCACAATAATCACAGCATAGAGATGGGGGAAAGGACATGTTTTTCCATTTCAAAATATCTTTTCAATATCTGCAATATGAAATAAAAGCAAGTCTTTATCCATGGCAATCTTTCATTGGAGTTATGGTTTCCAACATTCACTTCCTCTCCCTTCTTTTTCCCTTTCTGCTTCTTTATTCCTCAATTTTTCCACAACTCAAATGGACACCTGGTTTGGAAATGTAGGGAAAGAGGTTGTGGTATAGCTTAGGATGTGTGAGGCCCTGGGTTCAATCTCCATTTAAAAAAAGAACCTTAGGGAAAGCATCCACCGGAATCCCATTGTTAAACAACAGCTGAGATATACCTCAGTAGTAGAGGTAGAGTATTTGCCTAATAAGTGATAAGTCCTAGGTTCCATCCTCATAGTGCAAAACAACAAAACCCTCGTGTCCAAGACTGCACAGGGTAGGACTCACACCACAGACTGTCCCTATGATCATCAAAACATTTACGAGTTAAGCTGTAACATTGTGATTTCCGTAAATTTTAGGAATATTCTATGTATATTCTTCACATATTTGAAAACATCCAAGTAATAAATCATCATACAAATAAGATATTCTTTAGAAAACCCATTGATTAAAAGGCTTTCTCTTTTTTAAAAAAATAAAACCAGTAGTTCTATTTATTTTGGTAGAAATATAAAAAGGATATCTACCATATAAGTATAAGATATATAAATACAAATAAATATACAAGTAAAATGCTTGGGAGGAATAAATATTTTTCTCAGAAATTTTAGAATTCTAAATTGAGCATTAAAACTGGAATAACATTTGTCAACTAATTTTTAAAACATTCAAAATATCACAAAAGCCTCTATTTAAATTAATTTAAAATTTAGTTTTGATGTGATACTTCTGAGTATTACATTGTGATGAAAAATGCATCTAAGTGTGATGAAGAGTGAATTTTGTGAGGGAATGAACAAATAGCTATAGCCAGAGTCATCATAACTCACGAAATTTTGTGAAAGGATTCATTGAAAGGTGGAATGATCATATTAGAGTACTGTGACACTCCATTTTGAAGATGTTACTCCATCTCAATGGTACTTACACTGTCTTGGGTTTCGGAGTAAACTCCTAAGCGTTTGTGAACTTTGGTCATAGAACTCTTCCAGCAAGGCCAATGTCCTCTGCCGATCCAAAATCCCTACCTAAGCAGAAAGGTTATATTAGTAGTTACAGGAGATTTAAGATTTTAATGTAGACAGAACATGGCTTTCTGAAGCTTTTATCACCTCTGTTACCACCTTTACCATCGCTACCATAATCATCACACAAATAAAATTTGCAGGCCAGGTGTGGTGGCACATGTATGTAATCTCTGCACTCTGGGAAGCTGAAGGAGGAGGATCATAAGATTGAGTCTAGCCTGGCCAACTTCACGACTTGGCAAGACGCTGTTTCAAAACAAAAAAAACATAGAAAGAGAGGATAGGGATATAGTTCAGTGCAAAGGCTGTGTGCTCAATCCTCAGCACAGCATGAAAAAAAAAAATATACATACAATTTCTTTTAATGGCTATATGGTGTTGTATAATTTGAAAATGCCATATATTTATTAACATTCACTATTCATGGGCATTTAGGTTGTTTCCAGTATTTTGATACTAAAGTAACACTCGGGCTGGGGATTTAGCTCAGCGGCAAAAGCGCCTGCCTGGCAAGCGCAAGGTCGTGAGTTTGGTTCCCGGTACCGGAGAAAAACCAAAAAAACAAAACAAAACAAAAAAAAAACTAAAGTAACACTGTAGTGGATATCTTTATTCATATCTCCTTGTGTACATTTACAAACATTTCTCTAAGGTAAGTAAATATGCTGCAGAATTTTCATGTAGAGAGACAGGACACCAAGGCCTTTTCCCCAGGAAAGAGGTTTATCCATGCTAGCACTGACTCAGCAGATTCTTTTCCAAAGCTTGAGTACAGAACATGGCATAGTTGTTCCCTTTTATCTAATTCTCGTGTCTTTGCCTCCCTTTTATGGGCCTATATTCACATTCTACAGTCTGATTGAGTAGACTTTATGTTACGGAATTACATCAGAACTACATATGTGTACACAGAGGCTGATATTGCTACACTGTAAAAAGTTCCTGGGAGGAGCCTTACCACAAACGGAATTACAAATCACATAATATATACATTTTCAATTTTAGTAGTTATTGCCAAATTGCTCCATAAATTGCCCACAACAATTTACATTTTTGCCAATAGTAAGAGTATCTATCATTTCTCCATATCTATACCAATACATGATATTGTTAAGATTTATACTTTTTTTCAATCTGATAGTCAAAATGGTATTTTATTTTAATCTCTTTTCTTCCATTGGGGAGACTAAATATATTTTGATATGTTTATTATGTATTTGGCTTTCCTCTTCTGTGAATAGCTTTTCTCATGTCTTTTGCCCTTTCTTTGGAGTTGTCTATTTCTTATTAGTTTTTAAAATTTTGACAACAGTCATTCTATTATATAGTTAATATCTTTTACCAGTTTTTCTCTTATATCTTAGTTTAGCTTTCGGTGAGTCCAGTCATATCAATGTCTTTAATTTTGAGGTAGTCAAATATATCAATCATTTCCTTTATGGTTTATGCATTGAGTATTTCTTATAAAATAATAACATGTTGAGTTCAAAATGTATGCTCTACATTTGCTTCTAAAATTCTTAAAAGTTTGCTTTCTATGTCTATATTTCATATCATATAGAACTAATTTTTCCTCATTAGTGAAGTTAGAATCTAATTTTATATTTTTTCCAGTAATAAAGCCAATTGTCCAAATATTGTTTTTTGAATAGTTCTTTCCCATTGATTTATATTGCTCTCTGTGTGTATGTAAATTCATACATGCTCTTGGGTCTGGTGCCAGGTCCAGTATTCTGTTCCAAATGATTTATTTATTTGTCTATTTCAATATCAAAGGCAAATTATGTTAACTAATAGAATTATAACTTTATTTTAAATACCAGGGAAATTATCCTTAATTTGCTCTTCATTTGTATGTTTCGTCTTTTGCTATCTGTGAGGTTTGAATTAGACTTGACTTTACCAGCCCCCAAGCTGTTTGCCAGCGGAGGCACTGCTTTTCACAGGTAACTCAGCTCAGTACCAAAGTTGTCATTGGTAAACACAGGCTGTCGTGGAGGAGATAAGATAAGGCAAGGAATTTTACAGGTCCTGGGACAGCTGGGGACATCTGGAGACACCCAAAAATTTACACTGGACACTTCAAGGACTTTGCCCACTGAGTTGCAGGACTGCCTGAGAAGTTTGACCACAAATGTTTATTAAAATCTTCCTGCCTAATGTCCCCTGGCTTTTTTTTATCCCTATAAAAGGTACACACTACTCTTTGTTCAGGGCAGAAGGCCTTATCACTCTCTGCCTGCCTGCATCCAGGCATAATAAATTCCATACCATGTTGCCTTCACACAAGCCTGGTGGTCTCTGCTGGTCTCCCCATCCCTGCCGTTTATGTTATATGTGTTATACTATCACTGGACCTTTATTTTCCCGTCTGAATTTTTAAAGACTAAACCCTTATTTTAAAAAATACAACATACACAGGTTCTCAAGTCGCTGAGGCAGGAAGATTACAAAATATGAGGCAAGTATGAGGCTAACTACGGCAACACAGAGAGATGCAGTACTCAAATAAAGAAACAAACAAACAAACAAACAAAATGCAATATACAAACAGAAAAGCACACAAATAATAAGTGTATGATATTATGAATTAAAAGAATGTAAACTCAACAGGAACTACTTCTCAAAGGAAAACAGCAAACTTTAGTAGTGGGGGTAGCTTTGCTCACAAACTCAAGGGATCTGTGACTCTACTGTGACCCTACTATAGCAACCTGCCACAGAATTATAACTTGCTATATAAATTCCAAACACTCTGGGATCTTCTGGGTAACAAGCCACAAAACATAGCATTTGTACTGCACCCTCAAAAAACCTACAGTCTTTTATTCTGGAACTCACTGTAGCAGCTGATGACTAGGTTAATGCACCACACCAATGTAAACAAATGTACTCAATAAGAACAGCACATGCAAATGTGACAAAGGTTGTTTCTAAAATGTAAAAAAGGTCAATTAAGAATTGTAGCTCTTCTGGTCATAATCACCACGACACCCCAGTACCAAAGGATTAGGAGCTGAGCCAAACAGTAACCTTGCAACCTTTACAAACTGGGAAACTAGGGCCTTGGGATCGCTATATAAAACCACTTATATCTAGAACACATCCCTGAAAAATAGACAATCTCTAGGGAAACCTAAATACTAGTGATAAAAGTATATATCATAAGAAACTGGCAAGTATCAACATAGAAAGCAAAATAAAAAAAGAGAAAGTAGAAAGTGACAAGACTCAGAAGCAAAATGCAGCCCCAGGCCCCCAGCCCACCCAGGACAAGCCCAGAACTCAAGGAGATAGATGAAATTGGAAATCAAACACTGGAACTTCCTGAAATGATAGCAGCAGAAGTGAAAAATACAAGTGGAAAAGGTTATGGAGAAAATAATCTCTCAGATACAAAATCATGTTTAAAATCAAAGATATTAGAGAATACACAGATAAAAGAATAGATGAACTTAGAAAAATGATGGAAGCAAATAATGCCCAGTGTAGGAAAGAAATGGAATCAATGAAACAGATCCAAATAGAAATCCAAGAGATTAAAACCTCCATTGAAAGTATATGCAACAGGGGCTGGAGATGTGGTTCAGTGGCACAAGAGCCTGCCTGGCAAGCACAAGGTCCTGAGTTTGATTCCTGGTACCCACCCCCCCAAAAAAGAAACTATATGCAACAGGTTGAACAAAGGAGAGGATAGGATTTCAGATCTTCAAGACAGAATTACAGCTAGTGAGAATGAAAAGAAAGATATCTTAAAATTAAGCAAGATACCAAAATCAATCCAATAGCTACAAGATGAAGCAAAGAAGAATAACAAGATTGATTGGGAGTCAGTGAGAAAGCTGGAGACAGCACAAGTGACATAAAAAACTCTTCACAGAAATAATGGCAGAAAACTTCACAAGTGTGGATAAAAAATTTGACATACAAATAAATAAAGCTATTAGAACTCCAAACACTCATGACCAAAATAAAACTACACCAAGACGTATAATAATAAAGATTCCAGAAATTCAGCACAACAACAGAATATTAAAAGCAGTTAGAGAAAAGAAACAGATCACCTACTAAGTAAAGCCCATCAGAATCACAGCAGACTTCTCAACACAGACCCTTATGTCAAGAAGAGCTTGGAGTGAAGTATTTCAAATCCTGAAAGAAAACAACTTCCAGCCCAGACTGATGTACTTTGCAAAACTATCTTTCAAAATTAATGGAGAAATAAGATACTTCCATGACAAAGAACAACTGAAGAGATTTCTGTACATCAAACCAATGCTACAAAGAGCACTAAAAATATTCTAGACAGAGATAAAAATGACCCCAATTCCAAGAACAACAGCAGAAAGAAACCACCAGGCACGACAAGCAAATAAATGGGAGAAAAGCAGGGAACCAACAGCAGGAGAATAACATGGTCAAGATAAGCCACTACATATCAGTTATAATCATCAAAGTAAATGACCTCAATTCACCAATCAAAAGAAACGGGGTGCCATAGTGGATCAAGAAACAAGATCTAACAATATGCTGTACACAAGAAACACATTTAATGCAAAATGAAATTCATAGACTGAAAATCAAAGGATAGAAAACAACCTTCCATGCAGTAGGAACCCAGAAAAAAGCAGGAATGCCTATTCTTTTTGCAGACAATGTCAACTTCAAATCAAGAATGATCAAAAGGGATAAAGAAGGTCAGTACATACTTGTTAGAAGGAAACTTCAAGAGGAAGAGATAACAATCATAAATATTTATGCACCAAATACAGAAGCACCCAACTATATAAGACAATTATTAATAGACATGAAAAATCAAATAAGCAATAACACAATTGTAACAGGAGACCTGAATGCCCCACTGTCACAAAGAGATAGACCAACTAGACAAAAAATCAGCAAAGAAATAACAGAACTGAACCAAAGCTGTGAACAAATGGACTTAGCAGATGTTTTTAGACTGTTCCACTCAATATCATCAAAATGCACATTCTTCTCAG